ACAGGAGTTGATTTCAAGATTGCTAGTTAGATGTTAAGCAGTCTATCCTGATTCTCATTTCAGAAATGTAAACGCCTGCACAGGCTGAACAAGTCTCTGTTGCTATGGAAAGCCTGACCCAGCTGGAGCAGGCTTAGGTTGAAAAGGCCTTGGACTTGTGAAAGGGTTGTGCTGGAATGACTCAGAGATGTCTTGATGCTGCTTTGTCTAAGACTTCGGTGTTGAGAGAGCCAAACAGTGATGGTTGCTCCATCTTTAACTTCTGGATAGTTGAGAGGCTACGGAGACCTTTCAGTGTAGTAAAACCTTTTAACATTACGCAAAAAAGTAAAGGCAAGGCTTAAAATGTGAAGGTGTGTCGTTTTTTCAAGAAAAACCTGTATGGTTGTGCTTGTTTCGAACTTCTAAAATGAAGTAAGTGGGAATAATAAAAAATTTGGAAGCAAGAACTATACCGTGATGAAATGATTCCTTTTAGGAAGGGAATTTTTCTCTTATTAAAAACAGCTGATGGGTGAACTGTCAATCTGCCCTCTAACACCTTAGTATTGATAATGAATTAACTGGTATGAGTATGTACAGCTGTGATGTACTGTAGCAAGCAGGAGTTGTATTATAGGCTGAATGTTGAACAGCAGGGTTTCTGCTGGTTTGTCTTTTGTAGCATGCCACTTTGCAAAAGGAATGGTTCCTTCGAAACACTGAAGGGTAACAGTTAAGTCCTTCTGAGAGTAGTTAGTGACCTGAAATAGCTAGTGGATATATAAAAGGAATAAAGACCTGCTGCATGGAGTAAATGATTATTTGATGATAGATGATGATTAAATAGCAGGTGTTTCTCAAGGAGGCAAGGTTCTTCTCCATGTCAAAAGGTTTCTTGGGATCAAAATGAGCATTAGCAAATCATAGTTAAGGTCAAGAAGAAGCATCTGAATCGCTGTACTTAAGCGCTTTGTGTTGCACGCAGCTTTGCTTTAGTCTGCCCAATCTGTGTGTACTCAGTAGTGTCAATTTACTACACGTGTGCTGTGCAGTGTGTGTGTTTGTTCACAGCCTGTGTTCTGCTCCTTGGTGCCCTAACTTGGAGCAGCACTTAAAGGAGACTTGCCAGGAGATTCTGCCAGATTAAGGAGTAGGCTGCAGGTCATGGTAATTACTCGCATCATATGAACCTGTTACATGCAATCATTTTTCCTGGTAGTTCATTGACTCCAATCTCAGTTACGTGATCAGACTTGGATCAGTCCTCTTCTAGGAATGGGCTGTAGGTCCTCAGACTGCAGTGTGTAGTGGGTGTTTTTATTACCTTTGGAAGTTTACACGCCCTGCAGCTTGCCCCTGGGATGCTCCCAGAAAAAAAAGAGCAGAAGTGAGTTGCTTGTTGGATAGCAGGTGAAGCTTAATACTTCTGGACTGAAGTGCTACTTCCAGGAAAGCATTTGTGTTTGTCTAGGTAAAGAATGCATTGCTTCCCTTCTGTATTTTACTGTATTGGGGGAGTTATCTTTTAAACAAATAAATATGAATTTCTTTTAAGATCTAATTTCTCACTCTGAATTAGGTACTTAGTTTAGAACAATTCTGAAAAATAATAGGCAGTTTAAGGAAAGGCTTGGTAATCTATAAGCAGCTGAATTAAAACAGCATGAATGGTACTTCTGGTACTACTGGTATTTATCCTGGGTGTTTATAATCTACCCAAGACCCAAAACTATTGGGGCAGGGTAATAAGCAGATGTTGCAATTCTATTTTCTGTTAGTGAGCAAAAGAAATAAATAATAGTTGATTTCCGGTTCTCAATTGAACATGAAACAAAGCAACATTATACTAGTTGTATTAAAAAAGCTTGATAAACTGGAATACCAAAACCTGTTAAATGGAATATAAATGCTCTAAAGAGCATTTGTGTGCATTTTATGCTGTCTGACAGACCAGTGGGATCCAAAGAAAACACAGCACAGCCAAATGGAAATTGTAGTTGACTTTGAGCTCTGATATTAATTTGTTTTTCATATAATCCTTTTCAGGGCAGTGAGAAAAACGTGAGAAAAAAAATGATGCATTGTGATATAATTAACTTTTGTGAACAATGTAAACTTCAAAAGAAATGTCTTCCTTTTTTTAAAAAAAACCCAAACATCTGCTTTAATTGGAACTGTTTTTTTTCCAGATGTCAGTATGGACCATGATGCTTGTCCTATTTCATGTTTGGGTCTCTGCAGTTCTCATTATATGCATGAAGTTCTGCAAAACCTAGCTCACTAGATGAACTAATAAGTTCTTAAATAAAAAATGTCAACAGCATGTTCATCTGTTATCAATTTCTAACATTAGAGCCCACTGGACTTTTCCTTATTAAGGGAATGATGTTCAGAATTGAGGCAAAATGAGTGTGTACTTTTGCCATAAAGTTCTAGAAATCGCATTGATTTATAAAAGCATTAAATACCTAAAATTAAGTAACTTTCAAGCTGAAACAAACATAAAGCTAAAAGCAGTATGACTTTTAAAGCCCAGCCTCAGAATAGACGCATGAACAGATATATAATGCTTTAGTTAACGGTTGCTGCCATTTCTCTTACAAATTGTTCTTTAGGGTATTGTAACTCAGCTGTTTTTAAACCCATCACTCTGGAACCTTGCCTGCAAAATGTCAGCGCAAGTGCAAATTTTATTTCTTTAACAAAATAAAGGGCTTGGAGCAGTTAGGCTTTCTAAAATTTTATGGCAGTAAAATAAATTTTGCTACTTTTGCTTTGCTGTAACAGGAACCATACTGTTCACCTTACCCTGCCAGCAGGTAGAGACAGAAACCAAAACAGTTTAATTGGAAAAACACTGTGTTCTAACTTGCCTTTTTTAAAAAAAGAGAAGCCCAATGTCAGAGTGTAAATATACTCATGTTATTGTCAGACTGTGCTTTGGGCAGAGGGCACTATCCCTTGAGGATGGGTGGAGGGATGGTTGCTTTAGAAAAAAATTTCAGAAGTTGAAAGCAAGATGTGGGTACTAGTTTAATAAAGACATTTAATCTGGGTTGAGGTTGTCTTTCCTACTGATTCAGGAGAGAAGCCTACACTTTCCCTGTACGTGACCAGTGCATCTCTTACCAGATCTACTGTCTTGGAGTAATTTAACATTCTTGCTCTCCCATCTGGCCTTTAAAGCTGGATAGTGCAAACCCATTTACCTTTTTTTAATGTTTTCCTGAAGTTAAAGCCTTGACACATATTCCAGGCAGCAGTATGCAATTGTTCTGTAGTCAAAATACACTAAAATGGGGATTTCCTGTCTCACTGGTTGTAATAGCCAAGTTTACTGTTGGTACATTAGTTTTGGTGGGTCTTTTTGTTTTTACATGTTTAGGGAATGCACTTTCTTGCATATAGCTGCTTTAGTGCAAGTCACATGTTAATAGCTTCTGCTTTCAGCTTGGGTCTTTACAGAAGGAAGATTAGGTAATAGTTTGTGTAGAAAACATCTGTTTCTGAACAAAGATCTTGCCCTGTTGTTTTTTTTACATTGTCCCTCTAACAAGAAAGTCCTTTAGTCTTTTAAAGACTTAAAAGTCTTTAAGTCCTTGTTGGATATTAGAGTTGCTGTGGTTTTAGCATGCTCATGTTCTGGATCCTTTGTTAGCTTAAGTTATTAGTCTTAGATAAGTGTTGTGGGATGGAAGGACTGCTTTCTATTGTCTGTGCAATTTCTGAATCTCTGGTCAATTTGTCTGGGTTAGAATTTAAGTTTTTTGGCTCCAGTGTTTGTTTAGACCTTTTCCTTGTCTGAGGAAAAGATGTTGTTAAAATAATTAAGCCTAGCATGTATAAAAAGAGAACCTTTTAACAAAATTGAATTGCTTGGGGTTTGTTTAAGTTTTGGGTTGCTTAAATAAATTGGCATTTTACTTTGTTTGCTTACAAGCAACTTACTATCTATTCTGGGGAGTCTTTTTTCCATGTTTTCCGCAGAAAACCAATTCTGAGGGTTTCCAAGAACAACAGCTCTCTACATTCTGTAGTTCTTTGTTTCACATCAAAGTGCATTTTATGTGGCTAATTATTATACTGTTAGTTCATTTTTCTTCCAGCCCCTTTAAAATTTTTATTGTGATACATGTCTAATATGGAAAGACCTAATAAATAGAATTATCAGGGAATACTACTTTTGGTCATTGTTTTCTTGAGAGTGCATTGAGTTCAGCCTGCTGTTTTCAAGGGAAATTCCTGACTGTGATGTTGTGTGTTCTTGTAAATAAAATTATCCTGTATTTCTTAGAACTCAAGAAACTTTTTCGTAGCTTGGTGCCAAAATCAGTGAAACTTGGTTCCCTGGAACATGCAAACAGGAATTCAGTGCATTAGCTATACAAGTCCAAACACTTTCTTTTCTTCTTGGTCACAGTGCGGGAAGTGCTGACCAGCTTTCCACGGATTTTGTGTTGTTGCTGATCTATTGAAAGACTAACATTCGAGAATTAGGGCTGATTTGGCTTGTGATGCTGGGAAGAAAGACTAATTTGAGAAATAAGTTGTAATTTTCTGGAAAATGGTCTACTTTATGTGCATGTGTCTTGAGGAGGGTGGGGGATGTAAATTAGTAAACATAATCACTCTCTATATTACCTAAATTGTTGAAGGGCTCAACCCCTGTTCTGGTCACGCATGACATGCAATTTGGAGCAGGGTGGGCAAATGCATTTGGTTTATGTTTACCAATCTAACACAACTCTTTTCAACAGCAATAATAAAACATTTCTCTGTTGCAGAATATGGATAGCTTGCATCTCTGTGCTGGTCCTGGTAGTGTTTATAGCGATAGGTAAATGAGATGAAGATTCAGCATGGGTGTAAATCAAGTAGTCATTTCCTGTTTTAACATTGTAACCTAATTAAGAAGTTAGAAATTTTGTGGCCATCAGAATATCCTACTTGTATTCCAGTTTCGAAAGATTTAAAAATGCCTTATGTACTAACTTTCGTTTCTCCTTTTACATTTCCAGTTTGTGGGCCAAATGTTGACATTCGCAATGATATCCATGAGCTGAAACGCCTGGAGAACTGTACGGTAATTGAGGGTTTCCTTCAAATTCTGCTCATCTCTAAAGCAGAGGATTACCGCAACTTCCGCTTCCCAAAGCTCACTGTCATAACTGACTATTTGCTGCTGTTCCGTGTGGCAGGCTTGGAAAGCCTCAGTGATCTCTTCCCCAACCTCACAGTCATTCGTGGGAGGAACCTCTTCTACAACTATGCCTTGGTTATCTTTGAAATGACAAATCTTAAAGAGATTGGACTCCACAACTTGAGGAACATAACCCGTGGGGCCATACGGATTGAGAAGAATTCTGACTTGTGTTACCTCTCCACAGTGGACTGGTCTCTCATCCTAGATGCAGTGTCCAATAACTACATTGTTGGGAATAAACCTCCAAAGGAATGTGGGGACTTGTGTCCAGGAACAATGGAAGAGAAGCCATTGTGTGAGAAGACATCTATTAACAATGAGTACAACTACCGCTGCTGGACCACCAACCACTGCCAGAAAAGTAAGATTTGAGTAGATAATGTTTCTGTTACCTCTTTCTGAAGTAAAGGTTTAATTTTCTGGCTTTATTTTAAGCTTTTTAGCAACTTAAAATTTTATTCTAGTTGTGTGTAGTCCACATAATGAGCTATCCAGTTACCACACAAACAGATTCCTCTCCAGACAGTAAAGGAGCATCTCACTTGATTTAAAAAAAAAACAAACAACCAAAACGAACAGCAACAAAACAAACCCCCACAAACTTTCTGGGTTACTTAGCCGTGGAAAAGATGTAAAGTAAGTGTAGAACCAAAACCATTATAGCAAAGCTGGAATGAGTTTTATCTCACTTGAGGACTTCTACAGGAGGGGGCTGTCAAGTGCTATTTCTTTCTCCTTGCTGAAGTGACATTACATGTGTGCCAGAGTCATTGCTGTACTCAAGCTGCTAACTGGACTTACTTTGACTTTGTTCTTTGCCTCCCTTAGCATGCACCTTCAGAAATTCCTGTAATGGTCAATTGTGTATGTAGGAAAATTTTTTTTTTTAGTGCAATCAGTTCTTACAGTAGTCTCTAGTGTCAAAGAGTCAATGGACATCTTGACTTTTGGTGAAATTATCCTTGCCCATTTTGTTCTTCTCTGGTGTGATGGGTTTTACGTCTTTCTGATAGCAAGTATTAGCAAAAACAAAACCTGATCTCTTCTCACTTTTTAAAAATAGCGTAAACAAATACATAAGTTTACTCAAATAACATGATGACATGGCAGGCTTTTTGAGTTCATCCTGTAACTTTACGAAAGCTGAGCCCTGCAGTAGGGCTTAATTACAAGCAGTCGTCACTGGGAAGAACAGTTCCTAAATTCCATTTGCAGTGTTGACCAAAGCTGCTGTAATGATAGGAAACACCACAGCGAGAGAAGACAGGAACAGGGCTATGTTCAGGTTACCTTCATTTGGGGATACTGTTTTTTCTAAAGTGGCTCATCAGTTGCTTGTGAAGCCCTCAAGTTCAATTAGAACTGAAATTAAAGTACCTTGTAGGGCAGTTTAGTCAACACATGCCAAAAATATCTCTTCCAAAGGCATTTGTAGGGCTGTGCTTTTATCAGTATTTCTTGGGAGAAGCAGTTTGTCTTTAAACAAAGAAAAGAAAACCCCTCAGCCTGTTAGTGGGAGACTTTGTGATTTATCCAAGGTGAGGGAAGTAAGCTGCATTGCTTTCTTACTGTGTGTTGCTGTTAGTCTTTAGGGTTCTGCAGGCCAAATTTAAGTCTTCATTAGAAGAGTGTAACTGTTGTCTACAGAGGGGTGACCTAAGTGATTCCTGTGCAACCTCATTGCCTTTAGTGGTTTGAATGGATGTAACTAGGGTGTATTTAATGAGATATAACAATTTACGTGCTTTCTGTTCTGTGTTCTGGCAGTTTACAGTAGACAGAAGTGAGGTGCAGGAAAAGCTGATTGACTTCTGAAATAATTCAGCTCCCAAATGCACATGAGATCTGTTTAAGATGAGGTCATAGTTTTACTGTGAGGGCAGCACTTTTAAGGCAGGGGTGTAGATAAAGTTTTTCTTTGCCTATATGTTTTCATTTTCCTTTCATGAGAGATTGTGAAGAAGAAAGCAAATACTGGAAAAGAGCCTTGAAAGGCTTGTTAAGAGCATTACGCTGTAGAAGACCAACGTAAGTTTAGGGTATCTTGATGCATAGTGTATAAAGAAATGGTCAAGTTGTAGTTAGAGAGTGAGAAAGTTAGACTTATTTAACCTATTTGTCGTGATAAATCAGTGACTTTGGGGAAGAAGACTTAAAATTTGCCAGCCATTCATCTAAAAAAAAACCAAAACAAAACCAAAACAAAAAACCCAAACACAACAACAAAAAATCCAACCCAAAGTACTCCCATTCTGAAGAAAAACAAGGGAGGTATAAATGTGCAGTTGTTCAAAAAGAAGCTTTTTGTCTCTCCTGCTAGATTACTTGGGTGCTTTGGCAATGAACTCCTGATCTGGAGAGGACTCTTGCAGTACAAAATTACACAAGACATGAAAAAAAATAGAAGCAAAGACTTTTAAGTTACTGAGTGTTTCAATCTGCATTTTCCTACCAGTAGAGATATAAGACCTATGTTATTTTCCAGGGAATATTTTTCTAGTGTAGTATCTAATTTAACCCTGACATTCTCCTTGTGCGTCACAGTAATGTTAAACCGAAAACGCTGTCTATCACTCAGTGTTCCTTTATGCCTTTTTATTTTTCTTCACCCTGGATCTGTGGAGGAGTGTGTATTAAATCTCCTTTGTCCTTGTTTAGGTTTTATGCGGAAAGATCTGAAGTTGGTGGGTAAATGTTGTGTGGGAACACTTAGTACTTTAAGTAGCCTGGCTTCTGTTTAGTTTTGCCGTTGAGTGGAAGTTGGTTTTGTCCTTCTTTTTCTTGCTCACAAACAAAGGAAGAACCCCATGCTTCCTTCAGTATAACTTGTGCAGGAACAATGTTGAGGGTGGAGGCGGGAGAGAGGGAAGGATATGCTGTGTTTGACTTACAATAATCCATTGACGTTTCTATAGTAAAACAAGCTACAAAGAAGCTGTAACTTTAAAATCGGTCTTATTTTTTAAGGTTCAGCGTAGAGCGTCAGCAGCTTCTCTGCCAGTTTTGCTGCCCTGGTTTCTGTGTAGTATACATTCCTTTACCTTCGGGTGCCCCAAGGCAGCAGTGTTACTAGTTTGCTCGCTTTGGAGCTGTGGCTGTGTTGGGTTTGGCATGCTATCACCTCTCTGACTTGCACCTACTTTTCTTCTGGTGTATCACATGCCTGCTGTACTTCACTTGGGTTGCAGGTCCACATAGAAGAGTCCCTCAAGATGAAAGGAGAGCACTGAAGTTGTTTGCATCAGTGGTTGTGCTTTGGGGCAGAGGTAGAGATGGAAAAGATAAAAACTGAGTGTCCAGACATACAAATAAGATTATGGCCTCTTTGGTGCTTGGTGGGGTTTTTTGTTGTTTTCTGGCAGTTGTGACTGCTGGAAACGTTTATGGAAGCTGCCTGCATCTTGTATCAGCAGTTGATGTGAGAACCAGAAAATCTGTTCCTGCTGTGTACCCCCTGAAAGACTAGTCTCTGGTGTCATGCTTGCTTTGCCTGTCCACTGGTCTACTGCAAAGAAAATTTGTGGTGTTTTCTATATTCCTTTTGATGATGACTAAGTTTTGAGGTCTGCTACCTTAGTCACTAGGCCTTTGTAAGCCTGCAGAAACCAAGTGTAAATTACAACCTTGAAAGCCTGCCTGGAAGTTTAGGTTCCCTTGTCTACCATAACCTTTGTGTTATTTTTTGAACAAGTCCAGCTAACATGTCCTGAGATACTTTTCTGTTTGCTGGGACCGTAAGAAATAAACTAGGCAAACTGTATGTGAGAAAGTAATAGCAAAACTAGCAGTGATCTGTTTATAAGATCTATGCTGTAGGGGTGTTTTTTTTCTTTCTAACTTCATCTTAATTATTTGTCCACTCTCCATCTACCCTCAGTTAATTTGGAGGTGCTCTTTGTCAAGTATTAGTTGAGACCCCTCCTTTGCTACTCTGATAAAAGACAGACTTGGGAGGACAGACTGTTAATACCCACTATGAAGAGTTAACAGCTTCAACTGCAGGTTCTGTGTGAGGACAAGAGCACAGTCTGAAAGCCTGGGTCCTGCCTTTGTGAGAGAGCAAATTATGGGGATGAAATAGCCATGCTTCCCATAAGAGCAGTGAAGGTGAGTATCTGAAGTGCATGAGGGACCTTTAAGATTCATTTTGCCATTGACATAAAAAAAAGCAGGTTTAAATTGGCATTGTAGAGAGAACATAGATTAGGGCTGTGAGTCGCAAGCACTTGTTTCAAAAGAGGTTGATTTAATATTAAAAACAATAGCTCATGTAGACTGGGCTCCACAATACAACAGAAGAAAACTTTCACCTTCCGAATGTGTGAAACTGAGGACCATGGAAGAGGCATGTGAGGATTTGGAGGCTGATAAAGAAGCAGATGGCAGCTAAGCACAAAATGTTTTTAATGAAAATGTATCCTTATTCCTTTTTGAATTGGTTTGACAGTGGCCTGAAGAGTTACGGTGTATGTGAGGAATGAAGAACAGGAGGGAGAGAATGACAGTGAGTGGGAAGAGTGGTCCATATGTACCTTCTACTAAAATGTTTAAACATATGGGGACAGTAACATGATGTATTCTCACAAATATTCGGAATCTGCTCCTGTTTGTTTACACAAAGCTCAAAAGATAATGCAGTCGAATGGTGTCATTTGACATAGCTTCATTGACTTGTGCAGTACTTACCAGTGTACGCCATCTGGGAATCTGCTCCCCGTTGATTCAGCAGAGTAGTGGTGAAAACAATGTGCTGGCATTTTTTTTCCCCCTTCTCCCCTGATTTTCCCCTCTCTTGAGGAGTATTCACTATATTCCTCTGTCCTTTAGAAATACTGAACATGCATGATCTATGTAGACATAGAGAGGAAGAAGCTGGGAGCCAGAAGTGCTGAATCAAATTACACTTACTTTGCTTAAATTACATCTGTGTGTTTTTTTCTGTTTGCTGCTTCATTTAAGATTTTTTGTGTTTTTTCTTAAACCCTGAAATATAGTAGAAATTGTGTATGTCATCAGATGGATAACATGCTTTAAAAGTCCTACTCTTTCAGCAAGCAAATTTGATCTTGTATAATGTTAAGTGAAGCTAGTCTGTGTAATGCTAGTTCTACCTCTGTTGGTTTAAAAAACCCCTATCCTATAAACTGGAACATATTTTGAAATGGACAGGTTGTCCATTTTGTTGGTATGCGCTCTCCAGCAAATAAACATCTTCTGAAAGGAATAAACAGAAGGGTAGACAAAAAAAAAAAAAAAAAAAAAAGGCACAGTTGGTGTCACTGAATTAGAAAAATCTGGAGCATGTTAAAAAAAATTTTGTGTTTTCGTTCTGAATGAAGTTTTTTCCTGACTTTTGCTCCC